AGCAAGATGGTGCCCGGCTACTACCACTGACTGCTCTGACAGGGATCACAACAGAGGGTCCCGGACAGAGCAGGAGAAAAATGTAGAACAAAATTCTAACTCACAAAAAAAGACCAGACTTACTGGCCTGACAGAGACTGGAGAAACCGTGAGAGTATGGCTCCCGGACACTATTTTAGCTCAGTAATGAAGTCACTCCTGAGGTTACCCTTCATCCAAAGATTAGACAGGCCCATAAAACAAAACGAGACTAAAGGGGCACGCCAGCCCAGGGGCAAGGAGTAGAATGCAGGAGGGGCAGGAAAGTTGGTAATAGGGAACCCGTGGTTGAGAAGGGAGAGTGTTGACATGTTGTGCAGTTGTTAACCAATGTCATAAATCAGTATGCGTACTGTTTAATGAGAAGCTAGTTTGTTCTGTAAACCTTCATCTAAAGTACAATAAAAAAATAAAATAAAAAATAAAAAACATAGTACATACCTCTAAGGAGTTCGTGGTGCTTAGTACACAGATAGTTACATTCGTATTTCTCCTTTCTGCCATATTGCTATCATCTGCCCCTAATTTTAGCCTTTAATTATTTGTGTATATTTCTTCATTACATTTTTACAATATTGACTCCTCAACTAGATAGGAGACAGTTTTTGAAGGCAGGAGATATATTTTATGGAGCTTCTGTATCTCCCCACTTGGGCACTTAGAGCAGACATTGGACTCTATACTTAAATGAGTAACCATCCATATAGTTTCTTTTAATTATCATGCTTGGGTATTCTGTCGTAGTTTTGTGCTATAGTTTGTATTAACAAACAGAGGTACTTTTTTCATTTATTAGGAATTCATGGAATTACACAGTGGAGGAATGTTAGGGCTGGGGGGATCTTTTCTGGATGACATCTAATTCCTTATCTTTAGACTGATCATCTACTCATTGCTGCTGAGTTGATTATGACTCATAGCGACCCTATAGGACAGAGTATAACTGCCCCATAGAGTTTCCAAGGCTGTAATCTTTACAGAAACAGACTGCCACATCTTTTTCCCGTGGAGCAGCTGGTGGGTTCAGACTGCCAACCTTTGGGTTAGCAGCCAAGTGCATTAACCACTGCTCCATCAGGGCTCCTTGATTGATCATCTAGCTCCTGCATATCAAAATGTGGCCATGAATCAGTGCATCACCATCACATGGGGCTTGTTAGAGACCCCAGCCATGCGTGTGAATCAGAACCTGTGTTTTAACAAGATCCTCAGCTGATATCTCTGTGCATTACAGTTTGGGAAGTTCTGCTCTTGTTCAACCTGCTATTTTACTAACGAGAAACTGGGAAGTCAGTTTCCCAGAGTCACATAGCTGTTTACCTCAGTGGTTCTCATGTTAGATCACTTGGGGAACCTTTAAAAAATACTGATGCCTGGGTCCCATCCCCAGAAATCCTAGCTTAGTTGGCCAAGATTGCAGCGTGGGCATCAGAATTTTAAAAATCTCCCTAGATGATTGTACTGTGTAACCAAGGCTGAGAACCACTGATCCAGGTTTCTTGATGCTGTAATCAGTATTTCCTTCATCACAACACACCGCGTGGATATACACTTAGAAGCAGTGTTCTCTCCCACTTGATCGTTAAAACAGTGCACCACTCTATTTCATTTCCTTCCCACTTCCCTGTTGTTTTTTTTTTTTTTTTGGAGCATTTGTCCCTATTGGGAAGTACTCCATTTCTGATCAGCCTTGCCCCCATTAAAATATAACTGCACGAGGGCAGGGACCTTGCCTATCTTTTTCACTCCTGTGTCCCAGCTCTTGGAATAGTGCCATGTTAGTACTCAATATCTGTAGAGCAAATGAAAGAACTTGCAGTAGAGAGAGATGTGTTGTCTGCAAGGGAAGCGCAGGCTGCTGCTATAAAGGCACCCAGCAGGGCAGCCCCACCCTGCCAGGGAAGACTTCCTAAGGGACTAGAAGTCTTAGTCAAGACTTAAGAGTCAGCCAGGGAGAGAAGCATGAAGGCTTGCTGACGAAGAGAGGGCTTGAACCTGGATCTGTCTGCCTATTTTTTTCAGTTACCATTGAGTCATCTCCAACTCATGGCGACCCCATGTGTGTCAGAGTAGAACTGTGCTCCATAGGGTTTTCAATGGCAGATTTTTTGGAAGTAGATCACCAGGTCTTTTATCTAAGGCAACTCTGCATGGACTTGAACCTCCAACTTTTTGGTTAGCAGCCAACTGCTTAACTGTTTGCACCACCCAGGGACTCCTGTCTGCCTTTAAAGCCGTGCTTTTCCCATTCTGCTGTGTTCCTTATGGAAAAGAAGTTCACTAACAGTCTGGCTCTCTAGCCTCTTTAAGGCCAGTGCTTTCACCTGTATTCCTGAGCCACCTCTGTATTGTAAACACACAGTTAGAATGTATCTCAAGGGACCACATGAAAGCACCTAGCTCCTTGTCTTAACTCACTTTGAGAATCTGGTGTTTTGAGGGTAGAAAGACTTGATTTCACTCTCAACTTACGTGAGTGAATTTCTTTTCTAGTTAAAATAGCTATTAAGACCATTTAAAGACTACAGCCCTGGAAACCGTATGGGGGCGGTTCTGCTCTGTCCTATAGGGTCACTGAGTTGAAACTGACTCCATGGCAATGGGTTTGATTTTTTTGGGTTATTATGTATGGTCACAGTAATTTTATTTGAATGGGCTGAGTGCATTATTTGTGTGATACATTTCCCTTTCTGATACTGGCAGTGCTGTGGAGAAAGCATGCTCGTTGTGGTCCTTGATATTTCTGCTATGTCATTTTATTGCTTAATTTCTCTGAGTTGTTATTTGATATATTTCACCACTGTTTTATTTATAATCAAGCTTCGAAGTCAGGTATAAAAATCCCTTTTTATGAAGTCGTTCATTAGTGTGTCCCGCTGTACAGCAGTGATTTTCAGAACTTTTGATGCCAGACCGTTGTTGGATGTCTTGATCAGTGGTGATCTTATGCCTTCTTTTTGATAATAGGAAGCCAGAAAGTGTTAAGCCTTGAATGTTAAGACGTTTTTTTTAACATCATAAAATTTCATATTTCACTTCAGAAACTACTTTCCATTAAGATGAGGTGTTGCATAAATGTGGTTAGTAGGCTGTTGCTGGTTTCTCTTGCAAATGTTACAAGAAGTCAGAATACTGCTGACTTTACAACAACCACTTTTCATAATGCGCTGTAATTCAGCGCTCAGTCATAGGAAGAAACTAATGTTGTATTCTCTAAACGATACCTGGATTCTGAGGTTAGGTGTTACCACAGGTTAAATATTTAAATCAAACAGGGAGAGGACAGTAAAAGTCCTGGAACAAGAATTTTCCAGAAACAGAAAAGGAAGAATTAGGGAGCTGATAGTTATCGTGGTAGCTGGTAGTCACGTTCTGGAGAAAGACTTATTATATGGACCTTGACAATAATTTGACTTCTGAAGCTCTTGATTATAGATATATGGGAAAGGAAACTTAAAAATTCATGTAAGTCAAGTTTAGTCTGATTTCAATACTCTTTAGCACAAAAATTTCAGGCAGTCCTCAGTTTGTTCTTAGAAAGTGTTCTTAGAAAGTGTTAGCATTGTTAAAGATTATTAACTGAAGTAATAGCATTTTATATTTGTATGGTACTTCTGAATTTAAAGTACTTTAAAAATTTATTTTTTATTTTTTGTGAAAATATACACAGCAAAGGATACACCATTTCAACAAATTGTGCATGTACAATTTAGTAACGTTATCTACAATCTTCAAGTTGTGTATGTTTGAATGCATTATCTTATTTAATTCTCCCAGGAACCTTATGAGACAGGAAAGAGGTCTCATCTCTACTTCTTTTGGTGAGGTAATACAGGGAGATTAAATTACTTCCTCAAGGACAGCTAATAAGTGGTAGAACTGGGCTCTTCATATTTTAAATATAAAACCTTAAGGGTGATTGTTGAACTTGTAAAATGTCTTTGATTTTCTAAGTATGTAAATATATGGTTTATAATGTAGGATGGATAATCTAAAAGTTATTTAATATTGCAACTAAGCAAAAAAGGTATTCTTAGGACTGAAAGTAATTGGGTGGTAAGACTCTTTCTTTTTCTTAAAGTTACCATTTTGTAGATTTTCACATGAAAAGGTTAATTTTATTTAAATGAAGCAGCCTGAGAGCAGGGATCTTGTCTTCCAACTTCCTCCTGACTTACTACCCCTGCCATACTACTAGTTGGCACACAGTGGATTCTTTTGGATGAGTTGGGTGCTGGGCTTACTGTTGGAAAATGGTTAATAATGTCATCGAATATTGACTGAACTGCAAAAATGAATATGGCATTGGTTCTTCTTAGTAAGAATTTACTGTATGTATGGTACATGTGCCCCCCATTAAAAAGAAAATAACACAAGCCAAACATGTTCACCAACATATCTTTTTCCACACATACATATTTTAAATTTTGAAACAATCTCAAGCCTACAGAAAATTGCAGGTGTAGTGCAAAGAATCTTTTTCTCCAGAACCATTTGAGAATAAGTTGCTGATATGATACTCATGACCGTCGAATACTTCATTATGTATTTCCTACAAACAAGACCGTTCTCCTTCATAACCACAAAACAGTAGTCAATATCAGGAAATTAGCATCAATACATTTCTACCACCAAATCCTCAAAATCCAGTTTTGCCAGTTGACCCAGCGATGTGCTTTGTAGATAAAGGTCCAGTCAGAACCTCGGGTTGCATCCAGTGGTCACTTCTCTTGAGCATGTCTCTAATTCAGAACAGTTCTCGGCCCTTTTTGATTTTCATGACCTTGACACTTTTGAAGATTACAGGCCAGTCATTTTGTGCAGTGTTCCTCAATTTTGATTTGTCTGATGTTTCCTCATGATTAGATTTAGGTTTTATATCTTTGGCAGGAATATCACAGAAGAGCCAGTGTATATCTTTTTTAAAGATTAGTTTTACATTTTATTTTCTGTTTCCTTAGAGCGTTTCCCAAAGTGTATTCTGCGGAACTAGCACCTACTGTGTTCTCAACAGCGTGCCACCTATAGAAGGTAGGATTCGAAAAAGCTTTTGACTTACAGGAAGGGGTGGGCTTGTCAGTGAGAGTAATTCCATCATCTTAGTGCAGTGGAAATAGCCTTTGACCAGGACTGAGAAGACCTGGGTTCTGCCATTAACTTGCTGTGTGATCTTAGATGAGTTACTTAATCCTTCTAGGGGAAGCAACAATTATACTCACCTCATAAGTTTCCTTGAGGATTGAAAAAGGCAAAGCGTTTAATCAAATGGAAAATTCAAAGCATTGAACAAATGTTAGATACTAACACAACAATTCTGTATTTCTAGTATTGAATACCAGGTGATTTGGAGTAGGAGCAGTGTGATACTGTGGGAAAAGCCACAGACCCATGTTTGAATCCCGATTGAGCCACTTATTAGCTGTGGATCTTGGGCAAGTTAATCTGAGCCTCAGTTTCCTCATCTGTAGAACAGGGATAATTATTCCCTGATGGGTTATTGTCAGAATTAAATGAAAGAGTGCAGTGTAAAGTCCTTTCTGGGTGCCTGATATGTGGTAGAATCCCACAGATGTTTACCCCATAGTAAATAATAGAAAATAGATTTACTTGATCACATGTAGTTCAAATGGACTTGAATGAAGTGAAGCAGGTAATGCAGGAGAGGATGCCCTGAAACCCAAGTTGAAGTGACCGATTGCAAAACTTCGTGCCCTACTTTATCTACCCCATCCATATTTTTTTAGATTGAAAATGTAATTGCAGATAAATAGTGAGAAATTTATTGATGAACCTGAGTTATGAGTTGACCTAGACCTAGACCAGAGATTTGGTAATATGATTGACAGGAAAGGGGTAAATCTGGGATACCTAAAAATAGGGTAAGATTTGATGATCATCCAGCAGTAAGAAGAGGAGAGGGGTTGTTAAATAGCAAAACAAATTATGCTTTTCTATTAAAAAGTATTATTTTTAATTTAAAAAGTCTTTTGGATAATTCCAGTTGTGTTTAATTAATTTTGGAGAATTTCTTCAGAAAAGAATAATGAGAAATCAGATTCATGCTTGGCACATAGTTGATGCTTAATTAATATTTATTTTGAATGAATAGTGATTTGAAAGGTCTTAGGCTTGTAATGGCAATATTTGCTGCTGTGGGCACTATGCTGACTTGAATATAACAATATGTGCTTATGTTTTCCTGAATCAGTTCCTACCCTACTAATTAAATCTAAGCACATAATAATTAGAGCTAAACAGAAAATTGTAGAGCTTCCTTTTAATTTTTCCACTCCAAGTTGTTGATCAAATATATTCCCAAAAAGATTGAGCAATTTGATACACTGTTATACCAATTTAGTTTGAACAGTTCAGTTTAGGGGTTGAGAGATTAATCATAATCAACTTAATTGAATTACAGTGTTTGTTATTCAGAGAACCAAAATTATTTTTTATTAATTATGAATCAAAATAGAATGGATGTATCATTTCCAGGTTAGAGTTAATATAGTTATAATTTACCTTGCAGAAGTCAACAGAGTGTTCCAAGGAAAAGGTCAAATGAATTTCTTTGGATTTAAATAAGGATTTGGCAATGTGAATCTCAATTTTTAGAAATAAAATGTGAAAACGAGAAATCTACTTTTTGCCTACTTAACATTAAGTGAATGAGCTTTTTTGTACTTTTTAGAAAGTCTTAGTTAAATTATTCTATGCCTCTAAAATTATTATTTGGAAAATATTTGAAGCTTGACTAGAAAGGATGGTTCGTTCTCTAGAATTATAGCTGTCAGCCAAGCAGATCATCTGTCAATTTCAAGAGCTTCACTAGTTATTTTTATTGTGAAGTAGGCTAGAAAATTATTTTGTAAAGTCATATATCATGCATGCATATTTTGCTAGATACTGATAATGAGATGTTGTACTGTCATTTGGTTGACACTACCATTATGCAGTGTCAAAGTTTAACTACTTGGATTAAATACGGAGGTGCAGTTGAAACCAGTGTATACCTTAATTTTACTGTTAACTCAAGATACTGTAAAAGGATTTTAAAAAACTGGCATGTGTGCTTATCTAATTATTTTACCTTTTACAGTTATTCCCAAAACATTAAAAAGCAGCTTTTAATTAAAAGATATTTTTGTACAGTATAGCTATGCGAGTGGTTCTTTTCCAGTGTAAAAGCAAAGTTACCCAATATACTTTAACTGGAAAAACTGCAATTTGAAAATATGGGAAGTTTTAACATTTTGCCTCTTGGCGTTGATAATATTCTTTTCCCAGTATTAAAATTGCCATCTTCATAGTGCATAGTGGGAAAATTTGTCCATTGTTATGTTTCTTAAAAACATCCAATTTATATTCAGTATGAACCTAAGGTTCTGGAAATAGCATAGTTTAAAAACTGATTAGGGGGAACCTATTGGCCTGTCATACTCCTATTCCTTTTGAACCCACGGCTGCACAGCCCCGTAAAGTGCTATGTTTAGAAACTTTATTGAGACAGTGCTTACACAGCCATTCTCCTTTTCCTTCTTAAAAGCCTTTGGGCTGATTCATCACTGCTTGATTTGGTATCAGAGAGGAAGACTGAGGAATTTTCTATAGCAGTTATGCTGTTGAAAAGAGCACTGTACACACACACATATAGTATATATGCACACACTGCATATATATGCCATAAACATATACACACATGCTTAATACACACATATATAACCATACATAGTTAGACATACTTTATATGCCACAGGACAGCTGGGTTCCTCAAGGAGTCTAAAAGGACAGAACATTTAACATCAGGTTGTGATCACAAACATAGTATTAAGAGCTGGGGTTTAATATTCTGTTCATTATTGTTCAGAATTGTACTTTAAACAGACAGCTTTGTTAGAGATATGACTACTTATATATAATTCAGAGTAGGCACATTGATTGAGCACCTTGAATAGTGTTACTTTCATAGAAGGTACCCTGTAAATAGTGAATATTTGAATTGAGTATAGATTTTAGAATTTCACCTCCACCTTCAGAATCATACACATCATGGGAGATTTTAAAAAATAATAAAACCACGTAGGGGAAGAGAGAAGGGAGGTAAAGTCTCATGTGATTTGGTATTCTATGCTTTAAAGTTTTATGGCCCGTGGTACCTCCCTCAGGAAGATGAAGTGCAGGGAGCATGCATAAGCACATAAAATTACAAAGGTTTTATAGTGTATAATTAATACAGAACTTTCTATGAACTTTGTTAGTTGAGCTATTTCCTTTTGGTTTTATAGGAAGATTTTTAAAAAGCTTAATCTTATTTTTGCTATTAAATTCAAATTTTGGATTCTTAAAAGCAGTCAGTTTTTAATTTTTTTGAGTATACTGCTTATAGAAATATAGGATGGGTATTATAATTCAATTGGTTTTGTAGTTCATGGACCAAAAAGGATTTAGTATGCTAAAACTCTCTTCAAGTTCATCTTTATAAAATATTTCTGTATGATGTAGTAAACATTTTTAGACTTTATTTCTGTGCCCAATATTTTCCTGTTAAGATCTTTTCCTTGAAAAGAAATGAGTTAATCAGACGAAAGATGTTGGGAGAGTATTTTGTTGTGACCTGAGAAACTATTTTTTATTCTTTTATGTTTTTCACATGTTCCAAAATGAGACTATGCTACCCAAGATTATAATAAATAACTGGAAAATATATTGTCGTATTTCACTCTTCACATTATCAACTAATGCCTGTATGCCTATATAAAATTGTTTAATTGTAGAGCATTTTAAGTTAATGAATGACAGTAAATTTTATGAAGATTTGTGTCTGGGAGAGAATTAGAGTTCATCTAATTCTCCTTGATTTGGGAAAACTGAAAATATTAAGTAACTTACCCAAGGTCACACAAGTAGAAGGTAGCAGAACTGGGCCTGACTCAACTCTTGAGTTCAGTACTTTTTTAAATACTTTATTAATACCCAGATAAGTCGATTTAACTGTGACTTAGTGGAGCAGATTCGGTCTATAATGTTTTAATATGTTGCTCCTTAGTTCCTAGTTACGCATTACACCCTTTGGATGGTGGGGCTTCCATTTAACACAAGAAAAATTGGAGTGGGTAATTCAAAACTTTGACCTAAGTGTGCCAAAAGTGGCAAGAAATTTTGAGCCAGACAAAGGGATTTTGTTATAGAAGTGAAATAATAAATGCATATTTAGTGTTATATAAAGGAAATGATCTCTTCTAGAAAGCATCAGGTAGATTGATGATTAGGTAATCAGAAGTACCATATAGTCTGAAAATAATTAACTTTTCTCTAACTCATTTAGAAGAGTTACATTTTGATGAAATATATTAATTATATAGATATGTATATGTGGGTAGTTAACTGCAGATTTAAATCCCTTATAAGATTTGTGATTTGCTTTTGAAACGATAAATTTCATTTGTACCGTAGGAGATGAAGTAGTATTAGTTTACAGATAAAATTTAATCTTATGTATTATTATAATTCTTCATACTTAGATAACTTAAAAACTTTTTCAACTGGCTAATAAAAGATTTCTGAGTTTTGTGAGGTTAAATTATTTTGCAATTTTGGTGTGCTTCATGGCAGCATGGGGAAAGAACTTTTAAAAGTAATGTTCTGGTTTTGGGCAGCTGCTGGGGTAGTCCCTCTTCACTGGCTTGTCATAGAGCAAAAGCTCAGTCTTCCTTTAGTACTTCTTGACCAGATTCCTGCTGCCATCTGTCTGATCAGTACGTAAATGAGTCTTACTAACTAGGAGCCTTCGGATACTCTTGGCTGCACAGTAACTAAACTGAACTGTTGTTTCTGACTTTGCCAGTATACTTAAAAGGAGGTTTTCTCTTTTATTTTCTCTGAATTTATTGTTTTCTTCTTTATAGATGATCATGGGAACAGCAATAGTAGTCATGTAAAAATCTTTTTACCGAAAAAGCTGCTTGAATGTCTGCCGAAATGTTCAAGTTTACCAAAAGAGAGGCACCGCTGGAACACTAATGAGGTAGATACATTTCTGTTTTTTAAAGGTATAATTTTTTAAGGGCAAACATGTTAGACCATTTTGCGTAATATCACTTTATATTAGGTCTAAATTCAAATTACTGAATTTGGGAATTGTATTTGAGAAGAATATTTAATCTGGAATGACAGATACCAACATGCTTCTTGAACTATCTCTGGTCTGCTTGGCTTGCATTGAAAACATAAAATGTGCACGCTAACTTACTAAGGTAGCATGAGTTTTTATATTTGTGTTTTCTTGCATTTTGGTGTCTCTGAGGTGTGGTTAACTCTGTTTCCATCTCAGTTAGACATTAGTTCTTATGTTGTCATGAATTAATATTAAGATACAGCCCCTGTTTTCCACAGAACATTGCAGTGTCTTGACAATGTGAAGTTTCTGTAGAATTGGGAAGGGCAGGCTTCTTATTACCAAACAGCACTTAATTCTTTTTGATGAAGGAAGTTTACTTGGAAGATTAACTGGTTTACCTTAATAGAACGAAGGCTGTATAGTAGATTGTATATTTGTCATGCAGTTAGAAAGGAGATTGATGAAGTAGAATAAATAAAAGCTTATCTTCTTGGATGATGTTTCCTCTGTTTGGCAAATTTTAATCTGGGGGTCATAATCTTAGGGGTGGATTATCTTGTCATCCCTTTTATTTTGAAATCTGAGCATGTCATTTTAGGGTAATATCTGTTTAGTGTGGTGAAAAGAATTGGGCATGTAGTTATCAGTTTGAGAATTATATTCCTTTAATTCAAATGATTGGGGTTACTGGTTTTGCAAAGTTGGTACAAGCTGATTCGTGTTGCTGGCTCATTTACTTCCAAGTTGAGTTAAATAGCACCCTGCCCCTTATTAGGCACTCAGTTTTGTTAAAAGACACAAGAAGAAAATAGTGCTGCCTATTTACCTTTTTCTTTTTTAAGTTTTTTAAAAAGATTCTTTGGCTCTAACTTCTTGACTTAGAATGCTTTTTTTGTTTTGAGTTGTAAGAGATTATAAGGCTGAAAATCTTTTAACTTATCAGTTTACAGATTTAATACTCACTAGTACCTCATAGCTTTGTTATCTTGTCTCAACTGATTTAACATTTTTTTAAGGTATGTCTGTTTTAATTATTTGCATAAATTATATTTTCCTTCAGACAAGTTTTTGCATTGACAAATGTTAGCTAGCCTAGAGGCCTATTGTTTTAATCAGTTATTAACTATTTCAAACATTTAAGACCTGAAAACAAAGTAAATATGCTGAAATTTGTCTTAATAATAGATGGTTACTCTTTCACCAAAATAATATAATTTGGAAACTCTTCAGTAGGTCACAACTTGGCCATCAATTATTTAGAAACTCAGTATGTTTCATAGTGTTCCCAATTAGCTCCAATTTATTTATAAATTCAGTAAACCATATAATAGTTATGTATTCTTTCAGTATCATGTTTTATATGAAATTGGCAATATCTTTTAATTATAATTTGAAATTACATTTGAAACTGGAAATTGCTTAATGAATTAAAATCAGTGGTTTTAGAGTGTCTTATCAAGCTGGATGGAACAGTGTCAAAAATTTAGTTGGTAGATTATTCAGATCAGTGGCTTCAAAACTTTTGAAATTTTTGAGCACAGCTCTTCAAGTCTCACATACTTAATTACCTATAAATTATTTACGTGTTCCGCTATGCTAATACATAAGATGCATTATAAAATGCCCAATAAAGAATTTTCATAGAGGTTGAGGTAAAAAGAAAAATAAGTTCTGTATTTCCTTCCAGGAGCCCAGTATATATCCCCCACCGCCCCCAGACCATTGGTCACAGTGTTGCTTAAGTCCAAGTTTGCAGAAGAAAATACTTCTCTATCTCTTACTGGTGAAATGTAAAACTGGGGGGGTTTAGGGGAGAAAATGTGGATTGTTTTGCACAAGCTATCGCTATTGCTGAAAACTAGCAAGGAGAGTATGTTCGTAAGGCTAGAGGCAACAGGAGGTAACACAGCTAATGTCCTTACACCCTAGTCTCTTGCAGTCATTTGTTCTTTGTTCTTTGAGTAACATGTTAGCTCAACACCAACAAAAAACCTTCTGACAGAACTGAATTTAAAGGTTGGGTCATATTTCTGCGTGGAGGATGTTGGCTTTTTTTTCCTTGTTTTGGCTTTAGGAAAAATAGAGGAATCTTGAGTGTGGCAGCAGAAGACTTAGATCAAGAGTTGTTAATTCTGCAGAGTTTTATTTGGTGATGGTAACCTGCCATCACTTTTTTTCCTTAACTGGCTTGGACAATAGGAGGAACAGAACAATCAGTACTATTATTAATTCACTTACTTCTTTGATTTAACTGGGTATTGGCATTTTCTCATCTTTTGCATCCAGCCATCCTTATGTGGACATTAAAACCTGAAGGAACTCTACTTCAACAGACTTGTCTCTCACTGGGGCTCTGTCCTACGTGAGACAAAGTCGTGGTTAGTCAGAATTGCCCATGAAATCCTTTGAACTGCTCATAAAGTTAAGTTCAGTTGTATTGTCAATATTAAGAGCCTGATCTCCTTCTAGAGTTGGAATAGATTTCTGTGTCTTTGGTTGAGGACCAAATGAAGTAGTCAGCTTGTATTTAGAAGCTACATTGTACAAAACGCACATCTCTTTAAATTGCACTCACTAGGACAAGACTCACATTGGGAGAGGCATGTAGGGACGAGAGCAGTCGAGAGAGCAGCAGATTCTTGTTTTCCATCTCACTCTCATTGCTGAGCATATGTTCACGGCATGGACTGGCAGCCTGGGTTGCCTGTATGATTTCAGCTGTCGTCTTTCTCTGTCTCTCGTATTCTCTGTTCCTTTGCTGTGTTTTATATTTGAGTTCCTAGGTATACTCTGACTCCCCTGTACTTTTGAGGAATTCCTCTACTCAGATCTACCTAAATATTTGTGATTATTTGAGAAAACCCAACTTTTGTACTGTATATGTGTGTGTATAAATAGGAATGTATTTGTCTATTGAGAGGAGGAGAGAGTGAGTGATTGTGCCCATCCATATATTGCCATTTATTGAGCACCTTTTGTTTGCTAGTGACTGGGTACTTCTTTATAATAGTTTCTAATCCTTATAAGATGGGTAATTTTTTCTTTTATAGGTGAAGGTGCATAGGTAGAAAGTAGTTAAAATAATTTGGCCAAGACAGCACACTTGACTGGGCCTGTCTCTGAGTTTAAGTTCTTCTTTGATGCTTATTAGTTCTTAGGAACTTGCATTCTGCTGTGTGTTCTCTAGGCTTTTAATCAAAGACTTGTAACTCTAAACCACATTAGAATACTCAGCAAATTCATTCTGTAATTTAGTTTCGGATTAAAAAGAGTTAACATAGGATTAGTTACCTGGGTTCATATGCTAATGTTTGGTAAATCTGACGTCACCAAAAGAAAGACTATTAGAAGATAAGAGAGATCCTAGCGCCTAGATAAACTGCTTATAACCTTTTGTAACCCACTGAAAGACATAAAAATCTCCTGCCCTTCTTTATTGTTACTTGCAGTTGCAAAATAAGTTAAAGGTTATATCTAAAAAGAAATCAGTTTTAGTTTATGCTTCCTCAAACACCCTTTCTCAGGTTCTGAAGACAAGGAAGGTACTGATAGTGGGATGACATTAATAATACTAATAGCAGACATTTTATTGAGCATCTAGTGTATGCCAGGCACTATTGAGCCCTTTACATGACTGATGTCATTTAATCTTTGAATTAACCCTATGAGGTAGGTTAGTTGTTTATCCTCATATTATAGATGAGAAAACTTGAGCTATGGAGATGTTAAGTAATGTAGCCAGAGCTAGCCAGCCAGAGAGTGGTGACTTAGGACCTCTGGCCCGGCACTTTGGCTTCATATCCCACATCCTTTGGTGCCTCATCCCACTTCCTCCCGATCTGTCCCTAAGAAGAGCTCAGAGTGACTTTTCCAAGGTCTGACAGCTATTTAATGACTTCTAATACTTCTCAGAATAGCACACTGACTTGTTTCATAGAATTATTTGGCTTCTTTATTTGTTTGGATTTTCAAGGATTATACATAAACTTAATGTATTTTTGCATGATGAGATTTTAAAAGTAGCAACCACTCATTTCTTAGGAAAGTAGTTTTGAATCTTAATAGCAGATACTGAAAGGATTTTGTGGACTCTGAATAATGAAGAAAGTATATTAAAAGTAGAAATTTTGCAGCTGTGTAACCATCCTGAACTGAACCTCAAGGGCTAGGCCTGATTTATTTCCAGGGCAGGGTAGAAAGAATATATTATACACAGCACATTTGTAGAAGGACCAACTCTTATTTCATAATCAGTTTGGTATTCACATTTTCATTAAGTGAACTATTACAAGGTTTCTGCATTTTAAGTTAATATTTTTAAGGCCCAGAGCCAGAAATAATTATGCTAATGCAACTTTCTGATAGCACAAATGACTACTTTATAATTATGTATATTAGAACTCCATATATGTTGTCCAGACTGAAATTTCTTTTGTTTAGTCATTAATTAGCTTTAGCTGTTTGACTTAAAATACAACTACTGCAATCCCCAGTCTCCGGATCTAGATTTCAAATGGCATGCTTCCAAAGCCTAACTAATGCAGCACCATGCACCTTTCATAATGAAAATGTTCTCCCCAAACATGTTTAAACGCTTTTGTATGCTACTATTTTTGAATGACAAATGTTCTTTATTTTGTTTGCTTTTCCTCTAATGCAAAGTTTCTCTAGAGTAAGCAAACAAAATAGAATTCTAGTTCATACTGATCTTAAAGTTGCCTCAAATGTTTTTAGTTGGTGGTAACTTCAGAGATTTCTGTATTAAGTGCAGTTTATTTTATTTTATTTCATTTATTTGAGAGTCTTTTTTCTATTTTTATTTTATTTTTTATTTTTTTAATTGTACTTCAGGTGAAGGCTTACAGAACAAATAGTTTCTCATGAAACAGTAGTACACATGTTGTTTT